AACGCCCTTCAGAGGTTTAGGTGAACTTGCAGAAGGATGCTCCGAGTTACGGGCTGCGAGAATGTCCACTGATTATGCTGCCGACACGCCCACTCCTTAGTGATTGGATGCACGCCCATTGGTAAGTGTCGGTCCGCGCGAGCCAGCCAATCACAGAGGAATGGATGTGTTGGCGCTGTCAACATTCCTACAGCCCGTGAATCGAAAGATTCTTCTGCAAATCCGGAAATATCAGCAAATAAAACGAAAAGGATACGTAGGGATGGCGGGCGGCAATGGGCTTGACATCACTCTTGAGCGTCTTACCCTCCAAATGCTATTATTGCAGGTGACTCGACTACTGTTCATGGCTGGAGCAGACGTGAATTGCGTCGATCCGTCCACGTCGATGTCGGCAATGCAAGTAGCCGTTGCGGCTGGCAACGCTCACCTGGTCAACTTATTTATCAACCATGGTGGACTTGTCCATCAGACCGAAGGTAAGAAGAATTTTCACTGGATTGTTAGGGAAGATATTCGCCCTCCACTCCAGTATCCTGTAAAATTTGGGCAGTTATTCTGAAAACCTAGAAAAATAAATCAGAACGTAATCTCATGGTCAATCAAATCCCAAAGACAACCCGTTCAGTTTTTTCTTGCGTGCGGCTCACCTTTTTTTCTGCTCAAGGGGTTTTTTGAGTTTTTTTTTATTATGAAGGCAAAATTACACAACGAAAGTAGCAGTACAAACAATGAAGCCAAATGAAGATTGAAAATCGCACGCGCCATAGTGGTAGCGCTTACTTTTTAGGGGAACTTAGGAATGTACCAAATTTAGGCGGAGGCATTCTCTAATTGTAAGACTTACCATAAACCAAAGACGGGAGGGGAGCTATTTCTGAGAGAGTGAAAATTGCTCACGCACTCTAGAGCCTCCTCTCCTCCTTAGTAAGGCTAGTCCCGTTTATAACAAAAAAGAATGTTAATTGCGGGCTTATATTCGCTGGCGCTGCTATGCCCCCACATCTTGCGATAGCGCCCAAATTATGTTGTCTGTTGCGATTCTGGCAAAAAAGTCGTTCTTGGCTCGCAGTAAATTCGAGTGCCCATAATTTTCGAAATGTTTGAACGGAAAATCTCTATTTCAATTGTAAAGTCTAGCTGATCAGTAACGAAGGTTTCTAGGTGACTCTGCCCTCACTATAGCGGCCAAGCACGGACACATGGATCTGCTGCCACTGCTTCTTCCTTTAGATGGTATGAAAACAGCTGCACCCGCACTAGTTGAAGGTGCCCGCAACGGCCATGTGAAGGTGATTTTTCTATAAAAAATAGTTTTCTCTATTTCTTCTGCCCAATAATGATAAACAAATGGATAAGTTTCGGTAAATAGACCAGAAAACTTACGAGGATGCATTTCAGTGTGTGAGATATCTCCTGGCACAGAACTGGAAGCAAACGGAAGAGCGGACGTCTGCAATAGAGGATGCTATGGTTGCAGCTGCTAGCGCAGGTATGGGAAGCCACGAATTTTCCGCTAGCCACTTTTTAAACCTATTTAATGGGCCAAACCACTTCTTGAAACTGTTCACTTTGCCGTACCACTTGGTGGTTCAGAGTTGGTGTCGTTACAACTAGCGCTACTATAATAGTAGTCATAACACAGGTCAAGCAGGATTGAGTTTCGCACAGGCAACCGCATTTTCCGGTTCCTTCTATTTAGTCAAGTATCTAGCATGGTAAGAGTCCATCTGGAGGGCTGCACGTCTACGTTTACACTGCCTGGTTCCGCAAATCGTTTCATAGGCCGTACCACATCCATGGCCGCCTTGAGTGGAATCGTGGCGCAATCTCGAACAAAGCGAAAGCTTTATCCTTTTCTATCGTTCCGAGAATTAAAAACGAATTTTTAAATTGGACAACAGCGATTTGAACAACACACGCAGATTCGACCGGTATTGCCGCGTTCATAGTTCGCGACTCGGGAGATTAGGATAGTAGGCGACAGGATATTAGGATAGTAGTAGAGTAGGAGATTGCGCTGACAAGATTGGATACGTATCGATTGAAATCGCTGGAGAGTAGTAGATTGGGCGACTTCAAGCGAATAGATCAATACATATCTTAATCTTCTCTTGCGCACTATCCTAATCTACTACTACTATCCTACTATCGTAATATCGCAATCTACTACTCTCCAGCGATTTCAATCGATACGTATCTAATCTTGTCAGCGCAATCTCCTACTCTACTACTATCCTAATCTACTACTATCCTAATCTCCCGTCAATACATATGTTTTTCATTGTCGCGTACTATCCTAATCTCCGGAGTCGCGAACTATGAACGCGGCCTGACGGAGCGTGAAAGTGAACTGGCTTAACGTGCAGTAAGTGATGTGGGACCCGTGTTGTTAAATTAGTTACTTGCTTAGTTTTGTGAATGATTGTATGACGTATGATGAACCACTTGGATCATCCTTCAACCCGTTGGTCATTGAATATATTGAGTGTACACTAGCAAGGTCCCCATTCGTCTCTGTCGAGTGTCATAAAGCGCCAGTGGGTTCCTTTTGCTCGGGAAACTCGTATCATCTCATACTTTTCGAAGTCTGACCATCGCGTGCGTTGTTATTTATTGATGTTGGCAAATGACTTCCAGAAATTATGTTGTAATAGCTACTCTCAAGCCTAATCTCAAGATTCATCGGAAATCGCAATGCGATCCAGCAAATTCGCTACTTTCATTACGCTAAGCAAAGTATCACATCTCAGTCGGTTGACACAGTCCGGTGATTCCTTCCTGTCAACTTCAACCTCTGAGGAAGACTCAATAAGCATTTCCTGTCATGGCGCGTAAAAAGTCTACCTCATTTTGTCTAAAATAGTGCCAAGGGGCGTATGTACTTTAGCGCATAGGGTTCAGTGTGAAGAGCATGCCAAGGGCAGTATGGTCTCACCACCAATCAACTGCTTCCCGATGTCCTTGAGCGCTTCCTTCATCATGACTTCGTTTCCTACTCCTCATCACTGGAGCTAGTCGTTCATCATACTGAGATAAGCAGGTATTCGAGGTAATTCACACTCCAGGGGCGGAAGTGAAATGTCTAGACTGATTTAATCCGGTAAATAGTCCAGACCTCACAGTGTACTGTCGGATACCTGCCACCAAAGCACACATATATGTACATATATGGCACTATTCGCAACAACGTAATAATACCCTGTTGGAGACTGTAGCTTAATCTCTGACTAGGGTAAAACAGGATTCCTTCAGCCTGCGTCCGACTGACAAATGTTTTGTCCGCGGTTACTCCATGACCGCCAATCCGACTGAGCCACCTAGTTTTCGTCACAAACCGCTAAGATACTCCCTCTGCGAAAAAGTCTTGTAAGGACTCTCTTCTGCGAAGAAAGACTGTGGAAGGGATTCCGTAGAATTTTTTTCGGGTAACTCAGGAATATCTTCACAGAAATAGTTTGCAACCATCGATGAGATGGCTAACAGCATGGATAGAGTGGTCAGTGTGTTACAAAGTCTCTAAAAAATGTGGGGATGATCTGAGGCTACCTTCCAAGCCGCTAGAACCCTAACAGTCGAAGCCAATCAGCGAAGCACGTTATTGATTGATGTAGGGTTAATTTCAGGTCAGACAGAAGTCTGTGAAGTACTGGTGGACTTCGTTCGAATGCAATGATTTTGCTAAAGCAATGTGTGCTGCATGTGAACACGGACAAGCTGAGACTGTACAATTCTTCCTATCGCGGTAAGAATATCCTCACCATTTGTGTCCACCAGTAGAACTACCTTACGAATAACCCCTAATGTACTGTGCTGGTTGGCAGTTTCATTAGGAGTCAGTTAGGACTGGACTGGGGAAATGTTCAGGGCGTTAGCTTCAGCCCTCAGATTAAGACTGATAGAACTAGCCAACACCTGCGTTGACAAGAGTGACTGCAGCAGCAATCCTTTGTTCCACGCGAATTAGGCTTAACGACATTCGGAAAGCTCGTATGTCAACTTGCCCATGAGACTGCGTTTATACTCGGCGAGCTGCAGCTGCGTCACTAGGTGAACGCACCGCAGCTGGAACGCAAATAAGTGAAGAAAAGGCCAAAAGTACGGATCAGACGGGATTTTGCGCGATGATGTTCCCATATCGCCTACTTGGTCCTGGACGGAAATAGACCATATGGGCAACCACCAGTACCTCTTTTTCATCTCAACTGTTTGAGAACGCTCTCACGTGCTCTTGCGTGTCCTCCTCTTTATCGTATAGTCAGGACCCTTAGCGTTTTTGCGTCATCGAGTTTGACGGTAACGAGGCATGCTACGCCCCTTTACAGGACTGCAGACATGTGACAATAGGTTCACATGGTACTTGCACTTTTTCAGAACACTGAAAACCTCTTCGCTTTTCGTTTTTGAGATACTGCTCCACACCCATTCTATTTCATACCTCTTTCAGTGGCGCATCCCTGTCCACTATGCAATGGCCTGCAGAACGTCCTGCTCTGATCTGTGCTGTTGAAAGTGGCAGTTGGGATCTGGTGGTTGCAGTATTCGCCTTGCCAAATTGCGACATCGAGTGCAAAGACGCTTTTGGCAGGACCCCGATCATCGCTGCTGCGCGGTGCGCGCACGTCGGACTAATCGATATGCTGCTCAATAAAGGTATTGATTATTGATCAATTAATCAATCGTGCCATTACCGAGGTTGCTTATTGGTTTATTTACTTGTTAGGAATTCCTTACAAGTTACTATTATAATTTGAGTAAATCCATCAGTTCATGTGTAAATCAATACGTATCGACTTTATTGGAGGTGCTGATATCAATCAACGAGATGATTACGGCTGGACAGCTCTTGTACACGCTGTTCATAAGAATCATTTACCGTCAGTACAGCTTCTACTAGACAGAAGTGCAGATATTACCGGTAAAGACAAGAACGGTGGGTTCTCTTTTATTTAGGTTTTTTTTTAAGGCATGCCCTAGGATCACATTGCTGTGGCTCTTGCACACGAATGTGAAGGTCT